TTGGTACCTGTGGCCACAGCTGATTGGTTGAGGGGCAGACAAAGAGGGCGAACTGGGCCAATCAGAGCTCCTTCCCTGGGAGTTTGGAATTAGGACCAAGAAGAGCTATAGAAGCCGAGGATGAGTGGCCTGGGTGTGTTTTCTCCCACTGGGGATGAGAAGCAGGCTTTTCCTGAGGCAGGCTATGTCTTCCTTGGCTCCTCTGATACATCTGAATTCTTATATTAAATTTCTGCTTTTGCATAATGTGAGAGTCTTTAAAGATGGTTCCCCATAATGGCCCCCATCCCTGGAAACACACGGTGTTCTTTCCACAGGGAGATGGGGTCTGTCTCCCCCTCCATGATAGAATGTGGTGGAAAAGGTGTCCGTCATCTAAGAGACGAGCAACTCCCACCTCTCCTGGGATCTAGCTGTCGTGTCAAGGTGCCAGGGCCAGGCTACTGAATAAGGACAGATCACACACAGAGAGAGGTGGCCATATGGCACAGGACAGGGGACACATGGCACAGAGAGGGACCCAGTTCAGCCCAGCCACCAGCTAGGAGCAGCGAGGGAAGTAACCCCGGCCAACCCCTGGCACAGCAGAACTCTGCTGGGCAGAGCCCTGCCCAGGTTCTTCCCCTTGAGGGGTACAACACTGCGGTGGCTTTAAGTCTCTACATCTGGATGGTTTGTTAGGTCGTAACAGGTAATGGAGGCGACTTGTCTGGATTTGGTTTTCTAATTCTTGAAAGCAATGCCTCACATCAAACATATAGAAAGTTGGTCACAGCCAGGGGTGCCGAAGAAGCCCCAGGATCCCGCTTAGACTTGAGTAAGGACCATGGGGCAAAGTGGGGCCACTTAATAAGTCTCTTTCCTGGACCTCACTTCCCTTCCTTGGATGCTAATGGGGGCAGAGCCGGGTTGAGTCATGCGGTGAGTGACGGTCTGACAGATGTGGGGCTCCAGGACAAGGCAGCTCTGGTCTGAGGTGGGCCTGCGCTCCAGGGCCCCCAGGATGGCCAAAGCTAGTGAAGCTACCCAAGGAGCTGGAGGGTCTGAAGGCCCTTCCCCCTGGAGCTCTCTGGACACAGCGGCCAGCTCTGGCAGCAATGACCGTGACTGATTGATAAATGCCACAAAGAATCACTGGGCAGGCACGGAAGAGGGTCCTACCTCCAGCCCCCAAACTGTCCCCTCCAAACCTGGGCTCTTAAAAATTTCGGGTCATACAGGGTCCAAGAATAGAGTGACAGGCCCTGGGGAAAGACGTCTCCTAGTTAAGAGCATAGTTCTGAGAGTCAGCTAGAGAGGGATGGGTACCATGCCTCTCTGTGACCTTGGAGAAGTGACCCAAACAACTGAATTCTCAGTTTTCTCACCTGAAAAAACAAGAGGATGATGGCACTTACTTGATAGGGTTGGGAGGTTGTTTCGTGGTAACAGGTAATGGAGGGATAGCAGGTGACTTGTGCTAGCCAATCAGAGAACTGGAGTTAAGGAGTTCCTTTGAATGAGGTTTTACAATGATGGCACTTGGCACATAGTAAGTGCTCAGTAAGCAGTACCTGTTATGATGAGTATTTGTCATGTTTGTTAATAATGATCCTATATCTCACCAAGATAGCTTTGCCTCAGGTAATAGAGAAAACCCAGCCTTGCCGAGGTGGTATCTGGGGCCAGAAGTGGGTACAGACACACACTCCTGCCATTTTACCAGTTAGGGCTCCTTTGCTTCAAGAGCTCAGTCAACCATGCAGGGTGGGGTCCCCCCCCCCCAGCAGCCCCACTGTGGATGGGGCTGGGGAAGTTCTCTGATTGGCTGGCACACGTCACGTGCTATCCCTCCTCCAATTAGCTGCAGCCAGGGATAAGAGCCCAGGTTGTACCAATAGGAGGAGCTGCTTTGGGAGGTCAAGTTGAGAACATCCCTGGGGACTGAGCAGATTGCACTGTGAAGCTGGGCTCCTGACATCTTGTTCACGAGCGCCTCAGGTTCTACAGCGTGAGCCCAGGTGGCACCCCTCTTCCCGTCTTCCTCCAGGTCTGATGTCTCACTCCACTTTTATCCAACTCCGCTCTGATCCCCTCCCGTGGAATCGTGGGTGGAGCAGGAAGGAGGGCAGGTGGGAGCTTAGAAGACACAAATAGCACGGGGGTTGCCTCTGGCAATGCTACAGGCCCGGGCTGCTGCTGGGAGGTGCAGAGAGACAGCCGCAGCTAGAATCTTCCCAGACTGTCCCCCGGACTCGGGGAAGCCAGGCAGAAATCATGGCCTCAGCAAAGATACACTCTGTCAGCAGGGATTTGACGGAGCTTCCCTGGAGGCTTCTCACATCTCCTTCAGGGGAAGCCAGGGGCTGCAGAATTCCCGGGCTTGATTGTAAACCCAGGCTTCACTTAGCATCAAAAATGAGCCTCCTCTCTCTCACCTTTAACTCGCTGTTAAGTACTTGCCCTTGTCCATTGAGCATGTGACCAGGGCAAAGCCCCCGACAGTCCTTTGCATGCTAATCCATTACTCATCAAGAAGTACCTGCAGAAGTGCTCTCCACCTTGCAGGTGAGGAAACTGAGGCACAGGGAGATAACCTGGTTTACCTAAGATCCCATGCAGAATGAGTGACAGCTCCAGTTTCAACCCA